TCAAGTCAGTATAGGTCGGATTCCAAGTTTAGTTCGAAGCCAGAAATCATCGTACCTGATCGGGGAGTGAGGTCCTCTACTTATGGGTGGTGGTCCCGCTAATCTCGCGACGGTTACATTCGGTAATCTCGGGACCATCGGTTACACCCGGTGATCTCGGGACCGACGGTTACGCCCGATAATCACGCTGCAGACAGTTGCTCACATCGGCCCCTACCGAGCTCCCCGGTAGGTCAGACCTGGGCCAGGTCCACCTCGGCCCTCATACTTAGCATTTGTCGGCGTTGGTGGCGGCCATCTCGACTATCCGAGCTGGGCATGACTCATGAGCCATCTTGGAGCACCAATAGGGGTCCTCCACGTGTCCAGGGTATTCCCTTCCCCAAACATTATTTTTTAATTTCTCGATATTACTTTTTACATTATTTTTATTGCTTTAAAAATAATAATTTAAACAAATTCTTTCAATTTTTTATATTTCTTTTTTCAAATTAATATATTAGATATTCAAATATTTTTATTCATATATTTATACTAAAATTATTTCTCGTAGAAAAATATTAAAATTATTTCTATCATGTAGTAATATCGTAGAATTATTCAATTTTTTATATAATTTAAAAAATATCAACATTACGAATTTTGAGATTGAAATGGTTGAATTTTAGTCTAATTAAGCTATCATTAAAGTTTTATTTATTAACTAAACAATTTCTATAAGTTTTCGTGATTTCCACAAATATTTTCAAAATTTTTGCTAATATCAATATGTACTTGGTAAAATTGGAAGTTCAACATTGCCCTTGATATCAATATTTCAAATCTTGATTAAATACGTTTTATTATAACTTAGTTAATAACATAATTAAGCACGATTAAACTCTCAATTACAAATTAAAACAATTTTCACCAATTTTCACATGTCTCTATGATTATTTATAAAATTTTTATTGACATTGATATTTAAATAATTATACAATTAAACTCTCATTTACGAATTAAAATAATTTATATTAATTTCTATAATTTACAAATTTATTTTTGAAATATCGTCGATGTCGATATTTACCTTTTTAATCTTGGAAAGACATTTAAAAAGAAAAAAATAATAAAAAAAGAAAGAAATTGTATTTTTATAAAAAAATGAAAAAGAAAAAAAAAGGTGCAACCCATGGGGTTGAAGGGAGGAAGCCCATGGGTTCCAAACCGAACCCATGGGCCAAACAAAGGGTTGGAGGATGCCAAACCCATCCTAAGCCAACCCTTTGGGCCAAACAGCCCCTTAGAGTTGGATCTAAGAACCTTGCTAACAAACAAGACCCATAGAACTCAATTCCAAAAATCCCAAAAAACAAGTATGGAATCAACCCAAGGAAAAGTTAAAGAACGGACACGTTAGAGTAGAGAAAACTCATTTCTAAACTTGTGATTCGAATCACCCCACAAGAGGTATGATCAACACCACTTGAATGATCCTAACATGCAAATTCTAAGGACAAAAGAAATTGCACAAGATATGGGAGATAAAGCTCTCAACTAAGTAAATGAGAAAACTCACTTTTCATTCAACTTCAAATTGTGTCTACAACAAAAAATATCAAGGCTATATATATCCATCATAACAAGCCATATGAAAGGTCTTAAGAAAATTGAAAGACTCATAACTTACCAGAAATGAAAGGACTTATAAATGAAAAGACATAACTTACAAGAAATGAAAAAGATTGCAAATGAATAGACATAACTTAAATAAATGAAAAGATAAGCAAATGAAAAAGGCTAAGAAAATAGAAAGCCAACAAAAATAAGTGCAATCCTGCCCATGACCAAGTTGACTTTGACTTGTCTTAAAAACACTTAAAAATGTATAACTTGCACCAAATTGTAACGAATTGTTCCAACATCTTGCACGAACGTTTGAACATGAAGCAGTAAGGCTTCTTGAAGTTTCCTAGCTCTTGATCACGTAATCGGTCCACGAGACATGACAAAGGGAGCTCCTAGGTTCATATCAGTTTCAATCTTTGAAGCACAAATGGTACAATAAGGTAAGACATTCATAGCCCTCTTAGCTAATGTAGACATCGTAGGTAGATGATCATGAATTGTCTTCCATAAAAATAATTTAACTTTGGAGAGGACATTGAGTTTCCATATTTTTGTTAGATATCTTTAAATGAATTAAATTTACCCAATTCATCAGTTTAAGATTTTAGGTTAAGTAGTAGTTTAGTCATCCTTCGACTCTTGCATTATTAATTTATCCTAATTTATTATGATTTCCACCTAAGAGAATCTATCAAACAATCATGTATATTAGAAGAGCTTTCATAGGACCAATAATATTAGCCACTCGAATATCTAAACTCACTCAATGGGGAGTGAGTTCCACAACCAAGGATCCGAAAAGACACATAGACATGTATGATGAGTCTTGGCTGCATAATTGGTTCTCCCACCGAACGGCAAGAGAAGTGGGCTGGACCGCACCAAGTAGGCCCGGCCCATTAGAAATTCATATGAGAGCCCGTACTTGGGCCCATCATGGCTAATAATGTCAAAATACACCAGCTGGCTACTCTTATCCATCATGGCCATTAATGTCAAGGTGGACCCCATCTGGTCCTCTGTTTTTTTTAACCTTCAAATATTACTAACATTCTTCTCAAAGTAATTCCCTATAGACATCATTATCAACATTTTATATTTTTTTATCTTCATAATCTTTGCCACATTACTAAGGTAAATAACTGACTTAAACTAACTTAACTGCACAAGTTGGCATATACAGGTTACACCCTAAAACCTTTATAACTTTTTTTCCTTTCTTTCTAAGAATACAGCTTTCCATATATGGATCATATAGTAGAAATTTTTTAACCTTTTATCCATAGACAAAAAAAATGTTACTAATTCTTCAGCCATTTAACTATGCTCAAATCCAGCTGCATATTAGCTTCATTTAATTTAACATAACCTGAAAAAAAACAAAAACATGTTTGAAGTTTTTTATGGATCAAGATCTGTGGCAGTAGAGTAAGTAGGAGAAGAGAGTGATGAGGAAGAGGAATAGAATTATATGATAATATAATTTAATTACATTGTGGATCTGAATTCTGAACATGACATTCTAATTTTCCATCACTTTCCCGAGAACCAAACAGAAAAGGGAAAAGGGAAAGGAGGAGTAGTAAACTACTAGGGCAACGCAAATTCCGGCGCCGACGAAGAAGCATAGGCATTAATAAGGGCAAGGGAATTACTGGTGAAATGCGCCACTTTAACAATGTGCCGCCGGACCTTAGCCTTGACATTATAACGAGACCCATTAATGGCGCGGCCGCCGCCGAATCCTTCCATACATGTCTCTTCGTCGGTGAGAGCAGAGCTGACCCATGTCTCGATGTCGCTAATCAGAGCCCCAAAATCGCGCTCTCGGGACCGCCCCAGTTCCTCGATGGACCTCTGAAGCTCGAACACTGAGTCCCCGACCTCCTCCACGCAGTCCCCGATCGCCAACGCATCCCTCCGCCGCAGGCCGCGGGTTCTGGCCAGCCGCCGCATTGACGCCGCCGAGGACCGTGCCGCCGCCAGGTTCACGTGGAGGGCGGCCAGGGCCAGCGTTCTGGGGTTGGTCTTGATCTTGCCGGCGTACACCGAGAGCGAAGTGTAGCAGAGGCGTGGGTACGAAGTGGCGCTGCAGGAAGTTCTGAGATACTCTGTATTTGTTCTGATTCCGGCGGCGCCGACGAGGAGGAGGAAACTCACGAGGGTAGAAAATTGGATGGAGGGAAAATGGAATCTTTTCATTTTTTTTTCTTTTTTGTTCTTGTTCTTGGTTTGGATCTGGGGAATGTGGAGATCTGGGGAAGAAAGCAACCAGATTTATGGGGAAATGTAGTAATAAAATTTGGTGGTTCCCACAAAGAAACAGAGGAGAGGAATGGTGATATAAATAAATTTTGGGTGAATTTGGGGAAGGGGCGATGTGTTATTATGGGTATGAAATTATTGGTACGACGTTAGTTAGGCTGATTGATTTCAAAATTATGGAACAGGGGAAGGTGTTAATTATTGAGGATGATAAAAGAAATGGACCCACACCCTCGTCAGATCAGATCCCTTTGAATCAAAATGGTTACAATTTTGGAGGTATATATTTGGTAATACAGTGGGAATTGAATGAATTATCCGAATGAAATAAATCCGTATTTTGAAATTTGAAACTTGTTTACTAAAATTGTATTACAGTTATAGTATACTCTTTCGGACTAATTACAAATTGTTAAATAAAATGGTTCTAGTATTACTTTTATTTTTTTTAAACACAAAACATAACTAGGATTCTAAAAGAATGCCACTTGGACTATCGATTGATGGACTCTTTGTTGGGTTTGTAAGGGGTGGAAACAAAGTCACACGTTAGCTAGGAAAGAAGGTGATCTATATTATATAATGAATGACAATTATCTCTATTGGTGTGAAGCCTTTTGAGTTGAACCAAAAGCAATAAATCTCGGGCAACATGCCCAATCAACAATAGCCAATCAAATTGAGTTTGGAAGAAGGTAAGGCAAAAAGTCGATGTAGTTCCCTGATAAACTTTACAATTGAATTTAAGTTTCAACACTCACTTATTGCCCACATCACTATATGACTCATCATATGGGACAAGTGTCCAGGTGGAATTTTTTGGAGAGCCATCATTTCCTCAACCATTGCTTCCATTCGCCGATAGACAATGCTTGTTTAACATTTTTCGGTTATGTAAATTTGGATCCTTGAACTATAGGCACCCGTGTGGCTATGTAATTTTAAATTTTGGATTTAAAAACACCACTTTTGGCTCTGGTCTGCATAGGATGAGTAGGTGCCAAGGAATGAATTTGGCCAGAAGGCTGTATGGGTTAATCAACTTCAACAATGGGCTGGACAAGAGGATTTGAATATGTGGGTTGGGATTCTTCACTTTGAAAAGGCATTGGACAATACGAAGAATTTGTAGTACGATTGCTTGAGCTAGGTTAATCCAAAATGGGTGAGGGAGGGTTCTCCAAGTTGTTTGTTATACCAACTGGACTTGGGGAATTATCGAACACTGTGATATTTGACTAATCTAGGTGTAGAGGAGTGGTGACATTTGATGGATGAGTTTGGGTTTTAGTCAAGTAACTATAGTTTCATGAGAGGTTTGGATTGGAAGGGACATTGTGAGAAAGCCACGTTTGAATGGAAATTCGGTCTCATTGAAAATAACATTTCTAGATATGTACACTCGACCACTTGAGCTTAAACATTTGTAACTTTGGTGTGACTCAAGGAACACACATTTAGTAGAATGATGTTGAAATTTGTGATTTTGGTAAGGTCGTAAGCATGGGAAGCAAGCACATCCTACCACTTTTAAGAAAGTAAAATCGGGAGTTTTTTTAAAAGCTTTCTTCCAAGGTGGGAGGTTGCCAAGGACTTGAGTAGGTAGTCGGTTGATGACATAGGTGGCGGAAATAAAAGCATCCCACCAATAATTAAGAGGCATAGAGGCTTGAGCAAGTATAGTTAGTCCCATTTCAACAATATGCCTATGTTTTCTTTCCACCACACCATTTTGTTGACTGGTGTGTGGGCTGAGGATGGAGAAAATCAATTCCTTTTTGTTTGAGAAATGGGACAAAAACTCTAAACTCTCCTCCCCAATCGGTTTGGACAGTTTTTATTTTCCTACCAAATTTATTTTCCATTAGATTTAGATATTGGATAAAGGCTGATAGTGTTTCTGATTTTTTTTTAGTGGAAATATGGATGTTAATCGAGTGAAATCATCAACAAAACTGATATAGAACCTATAACGGGAAGTTGAGGTCATTGGTGATGGACCCCAAAGATCACAATGTATAAGCTCAAGTGGTGCGAGAGTGAAGGACTTTGAATTTTGAAAGGGTAAGGAGTACTCATATATGTCTTCCTCTACATTTTTGTCAAAATTTAAGACTATCTCAAGCCTATCAATATTGTCGGATATTACAATTGGATCTATATCTACTCTATGAAATGTATGTGCTTCGAGATCCACTTCTTCAACTTCACATTGATTTGTAACTCCTTCACATACATCAACTTCTTCTATTTCAGGCACATCCCATAAATGTCTATGTTCAATTTTTTGAACTACTTTCCAACCAGAACCTAATTTGAGATCTTCAACATAGAATACTTGTTGTGCTTGAGATACAAGTATGAATGGTTCGTCTTGGTACCACAAATGACGTGTGTCAATGCTCGTAAAACTATGGTCCTGACGAATACGATTTTTCCTAGAATTCGTATCATACCAATCACACCTTAATAGAAGAACTCGTTTTCTATTAATGTAGCTCAATTCGATAACTTCTCTAATGACACCTTAGAAATCAGACAACTCAGTATTATGTCCACCCATAACACATACTCCACTATTTTGTGTTGTGCACCGATCATCTCGCTCAATTGTGTTAAATCGAACTCCATTTATAACACAACCATTATATGAACAATTCCGAATATCAGGACCACATGCTAGTGTATTCAACTCATGCACGACAGCGTTCGAATTTGAAGAAACTTCCGATCTCATCTACAGACATATTTTACAAGACCAAACGTCATTATGAAAATAGTTAACCATAATGGATAGATGGTGTATGATATTTTGATGGAGTAAAACTCACATTTCTTTTAAACCACTCTGGAAATAATACTTCATGCAAACTGGCTAAATTACCATTATTGTTTTATTGTTGTAACTCTAATTCATGTTCTCTGCGAAACGAAACTAACAATGAATAACATTTGAAATAAACTTATCGACTATGCATACCAATAAAAGTACATGTACCAATAAAAAGTACATGAAAATTTATACCGTCTATATGAATCCACTGCTTCATAATTGGTTAGAATGTACCAGTGCGCCTTTCGTAACTCCGCAGGCGATAGTTTTTTCAATTGTGAACCACCAATTGGTCGTGCATTTTGCGAAAATACAGGAAGATGTGCATTTGAGTCATTCAGGTCCAACATGTCATCATTTCGAATTGGCCTATTGAATTTCGTTTCAATTCCATCGAGGTACATTGAGCAGAACGTCAATGCCTCATTTGCAATGACCGCTTCTGCTATAGAACCCTCGGGCCGATCTTTATTTTTTACATATTGTTTCAATGTCCGCAAACTCCTATGATAATATGCTATATCAATTAGTTAATATCACTAGATATACTTTGAAGCAACATGTATAAATAGGCATACCTCTCAATCGGATACATCCAACTATAACCCACAGGTCCTACTAGCTTGGCTTCTTCGGGTAAGTGCACGGCTAGATGAACCATGACATCAAAGAACGCTGGAGGGAATATTCTCTCAAATTTGCAAAGAATTAATACAATTGTATCTTATAACTTATTCAAAGTCTCAACTTTCAATGTCTTCGTAGTCAAGTCTTTGAAACAATTCGCCAATTCTGCAATACCTCCACTAATATCATTGGGCAAAAATGGACGAACACCCACTGGTAAAAGTCTTTGGAGCAACACATGTGAGTCGTGACTTTTCAGTCCATGTATTTTTCCATCTTTAACACTAACATATCTTGAAATGTTCGATGCGAAACTATCAGGGAATTTGACGGTTTTCAAAAAGCTACAAAACTTCTTTCTTTCTTCCGACGTTAACGTGTAGCTAGCATGCGGTTTCAACAATTTGTTCCCAACATGTTGGAGATGTAATTCTTTACGTATGTTCAACTTCATTAAATCTTGACGTGCTTTATCAGTGTCTTTTGTTTTCCCTTCGATATTTAATAATGTGGCCATGACATTATCACTAATATTCTTCTCGATATGCATGACATCAAGTTTGTGTCGAATCTTGAGAGTTGACCAATATGGTAATTCAAAGAATATACTTCTCTTCACCCAATTAAATTGGCTATTTAATTGCTTCCGCTTCCATTGTGAAACATTGATAGTTTTTCCGAGTGGCGGAAAATTAATGGAATCTAATTGGTGGATGATATCCAATCCAGAAAAATGTCGTGGTGCAACTCTATGTTCAGTCTTTCCATTATATTGTTTACTTCTGCGCCAAGGATGATTTTGTGCTAAGAATCCACGATGTCCCATATAGCATATCTTACTATGCAATTTGTCCGACGAAATATCTTCATTACATACTGGACATGCCTTATAGCTTTTCGTACTCCATCCTGAAAGATTTTCATAAGCTGGAAAGTCATTGATTGTCCACATCAAAGCTGCATGAAGTCGAAAGTTCTGACTACTTCATACATCATACGTATCAACACCGGTAGACCATAATTCTTTCAATTCGTTTATCAATGGTTGCAAATAAACGTCTATATCCTTTCCTGGAGCTTTTGGACCTGGTATGAGTAATGACATGAACCAAAACGATTCCTTCATGCATTTCCACGGGGGCAAGTTATATGGAATTAATATTACTGGCCA